TCCAATCTGATGCTTTGCTTTGTGAAGGGCAGTCTCTGCTGTCTCCATGTGTTGCATCTGTTTTCAGGAAGTGGCACAGGAGGAAGCTTAGATGAAATATGGCAATATTGCTAGTTAGACACTTTTTGAAATACACCCACAGTGGAGGTTAGTTCTGCTGCCAGTTTCTTAATTTGTTGGCACTGCCATTGTGCAGCAGTGGCACATTTAGCTGCTATTACTGAACTATCATGTTGTGTTGCTGCAGGAAGAAAGTTGAAATTTTGGTATAAATAGAATATGTTGTTTTCAATGAATATGGCCTGTGGAGCACTTTTTCTTCCTTCTTCCTCCCTCCCAGCCTACTATTATCAAGTTCTAAATTCAGCAATGCATAAAATATACCAAGGTTTAATAAAACATTAAAAATGGCACTTAGTGGAAAGAAACTAGCAGGCAGGCTTCTCTGACCAGAACTATACATGTTTTTAGCTGTAAAATATCATGCATTATGCATGCCTCCTTAAAAGGAAAAAAAAGAAGAGGTAATGATGGGTAGAGATTATGTGTGGAAAGCCTGTATTGCTCTTTGCTCTAAGCCTCATGTAGGTAGATTTTTTTTAAGTGTACTGAGTTCATGGGTGTTTTCTGACCCCAAGGAAAGTACTGAAAGCTAGCAGCAGGGTTAGTGAAACAGTTAAGTTTGTGTGTCTTATATTTCTTGAAACAACAGAATAACAATTTTATGTCATCAAGTCAATTCTGACTTATGGCAACCCTTTCCAGGGTTTTCTAGGTAGAGAATACATTGAAGTGGTTTGCCATGTATTTCCTTCTTCTGGGGGCATCTTGGGACTGTGCAGCTTGTCCATGACTACACAGGCTGGCTCTTCCCCGGGAGGCAGAGTGGGGAATCGAACTCCCACCCATTCCTAAGCCACTGAGCTATCCAGCCAGCTCATATTTCTTGAACCCACTGGGAAGTCTATTTCCCTACACCCACCAAAAATGAGGCCAATGTAAGACAAGCAGAATATGCCAGTTCTGTTTCTCAGCCTCATGGTTTGCCAGAAAATGATGTGCGAGGTTTGGGGAGGGGGCTATCATAAGGCATTCATATTGGCTAGGACAAACAGTGCCCCACTGGCTAAGACAAGAGAGTACCTTAATTTGCAGACCCAAAAACAAAAAACAAAAACTATGGCCAATGGCTGAAATCTGTGGACATTATTTGTAGCTTTTAAAAAAGACTGAGAACAAGGTTAAGTCAAATTCTCTGGGAATTCTGCAACAGAACGACCCTTTGGAGTGGCTCACATCTAATACTGTACATTCATTCTTAACAGATTTTGAAGGGGAAAGGAAGCTTCAGCAATTGCTGTTTCTAATATTGCAGAGTATTATAGGATGAATATTGGATAAGCCTCTGTAATTGTCACTTGTAGGATATTTTATAGAAAGGTGAAAAGTTGATTCACTGCTCCAGAGCTGTAGTTTCTATATAATGTGAAACAGAGCATGTGCTTACTATCAGGTCGCCCAAATACAGTGGTGCCCCGTATAGCGAGGTTAATCCGTTCCGGATTAACCTTCGCTATACGAAAACATCGCTGTGCGGGGCAGGAAAACCTATTGGAACGCATTAAACTTAGTTTAATGCGTTCCAATAAGTGTGTAAACTTACCCCCTCCAGCGATGTTTTCGCTCCGGCGGCCATTTTGGAGCTGCCGATCAGCTGATCGGCAGCTCCAAAATGGCCGCCGGACGCCCCAATCGTCGCAAAGCGAGTGCGGTGATTGGGGCAGCTCCGTATAGCGATCCCCAAAAAGGGATCGCTATACAGATTCTTCGTTGTACGGTGCGCTCGTTAAGCGAGGCACCACTGTACGAGCACACGTTATATTCAAAACATTTTTCACACGAAAATGATCAACATACCTAAAGTATTGCTTGGTTCTGGTTTTAAAGGAACACCTGAAAAATCAGATATCAATTAACAGAATATCCAAATGCAATTTATATGGAATATACTACAGTATTTCATATTGGTAGAAGCAAATGATACAAATAAAATTAATGTTTGCCATGTTTTGAATTGCCTCAATAGATCAGAACAGAGAGTTGTTTAGTTTAGTACAGTACTCCCAATAGTGGCAAGAAAGACTAAAGTGATTAAATATTTTGCTCAGCTCTCTTCATTGACTTCATGGGGGCCTTAAAGTGCTCAAGCATTTTGTGGGGAAGGGATTGTTCTTTGATGACAGAACATCAGCCTTGTATATGGGTGGCCTGGTTCAGGATAAGGCCATTTTCTGTGACTAGAGCCACACAGCCACTTCCAAGGAAAAACACCCAATAGTATAGTGGCACCTTAAAGATTGCTGCATTCATTGTAGCGTGAACTGTTGTGGACTACAGTGCATGTCAGATGGAGGGAATATTACCCAGAATTTCAGATATATATGCAATAGACATTGTCAGGGAGGGGTTAATAGACAGTGAAGGTAAAGGGAATTAAATACAGAGCTAAATAGCTCGGTGAGTTGGGTATCTGGCTGCAGAGCCTCTGTTCTAAAGTCTGATTCCCCCACTGTGCTCCCTGGGAGAAATGCCCAGCCTGTGTGGCCTTGGGCAAGAATATTACCCAGAATTTCAGATATATATGCAATAGACATTGTCAGGGAGGGGTTAATAGACAGTGAAGGTAAAGGGAATTAAATACAGAGCTAAATAGCTCGGTGAGTTGGGTATCTGGCTGCAGAGCCTCTGTTCTAAAGTCTGATTCCCCCACTGTGCTCCCTGGGAGAAATGCCCAGCCTGTGTGGCCTTGGGCAAGCTGCACAGTCCCAGGATGCCTCACCTCAAACTTTTCTACCTGGAAAAACCTGAAAAGGTTCACCATAAATCAGAACAGACTTGACAAGCGGCATATAAAACAAGCAAACAAACATTCGTCGTCGTTTAGTCGTGTCCGACTCTTCGTGACCAGGCCCTCCTATCTTCCACTGCCTCTCATAGTTGTATCAAATTCATGTTGGTTGCTTCGCAGACACTGTCCCGCCATCTCATCCTCTGTCGTCCCCTTCTCCTCTTGCCGTCACACTTTCCCAACATCAAGGTCTTTTCCAAGGAGTCTTCTCTTCTCATGAGATGGCCAAAGTATTGGAGCCTCAGCTTCAGGATCTGTCCTTCCAGTGAGCACTCAGGGTTGATTTCCTTTAGAATTGATAGGTTTGTTCTCCTTGCAGTCCAGGGCACCCTCAAGAGCCTCCTCCAGCACCACAATTCAAAAGCATCAGTTCATCGGCGGTCAGCTTTCTTTATGGTCCAGCTCTCACTTCCATACATCCCGACAGGAAAAACCATAGCTTTGACTATTCGGACTTTTGTTGGCAAGGTGATGTCTCTGCTTTTTAAGATGCTGTCAAGGTTTGTCATCGCTTTCCTCCCAAGAAGCAGGCGTCTTTTAATTTCGTGACTGCTGTCTCCATCTGCAGTGATCATGGAGCCCAAGTAAATAAAATCTGTCACTGCCTCCATATCTTCCCCTTCTATTTCCCAGAAGGTGATGGGACCACTGGCCATGTTCTTAGTTTTTTTGATGTTGAGTTTCAGGCTGTTTTTTGCACTCTCCTCTTTCACCCTCATTACAAGGTTCCTTAATTCCTCCTCACTTTCTGCCATCAGAGTGGTATCATCTGCATATCGGAAGTTGTTGATATTTCTTCCGGCAATCTTAATTCCGCCTTGGGATTCCTCCAGTCCAGCCTTCCGCATGATGTATTCTGCATATAAGTTAAATAAACTGGGGGACAATATACAGGACAATAAACAAACATTATCGCCAGTTAAACTTTGGCTATTCACAAAACTCTGCACAAACATTGCAGCACTGAGTAAGCCAATAAATGCACAAAGTGTTGTAAAAGAATTCATTCTCCCAGTTTAAGTCTCTGGTGATAGACTGGAACTTCCTAACAAATTGTTAAATCAGCAAATGCTTGCCTCTCCGCCCTGTGAAGTTTCCTTTGCATCTTTCAAGGCCTCCTTTATCAGGATCCCAGATTTCTGTTTATATCCCTGAGCTTAAAATCCAGTTTGATATGAGAGAAAAGTTTAAGAGTTTTGAAGGCTGTGAGGAGGTGGAAGCATAGCACATATACAGGCCCCAGGCATTCGTCTCTGTGTGCTGTTCGTTCTGAGGTTCTCTGACTAGTGAAATGGGACTCATTTACTTCTCTTGTTACAAAACAGAGGATAGTGCTTGAGAAGAGCCAAAGGATCTCAAAATGGTATTTCTACTACCCAAGGTGTTGGTTTTGCATCTTTCCACTTCCAATACCAGTTGGAAAACTGTTTTTTTAAACACAGGAGAGAAGTAGGAACAGTTCGTATTATGGCAGTTGGTGGGGTGATGTGAGGTCAGCTATACTCATCTTTTGTTGGTGCTATAAACCAAAAATAATAATGAGCCTGACTAGATAAAACTTGGGTCTTATCACTGCCTGGTTGGGAAATCTCCTAGGAACCCTAATGCTAGGCCCTGTTAAAGAATGTATAACACAATAAAAGATAGAAAGTCAGTGAATGTCTGCTCAGAATTAAGGTCCACAGTAGGCAGTGGGGCTTAATCGATGTATTTCTGTAACATAAATGCACAAGCCTGTCAGGATTACTTAAAATGGCTCATTAGGTCACAGTTTATACTTTCCAATTAAAATCTGATTATTTTTCAGATCTATTAAGGAATCCTCATATTTCTTTTCAATGTTTTAATTTATAACAGCTAAAATCCAGTAGTAAGTCACAACCAGCGTAGGCCCATTAAATCAAAGGAACCTATACAGGTGTCAACTCACACATTTCTGCTGATTCAGCAGGCCTACTCTAGTTGTGACTTGCTCCTGGACTTTAGCCAATGTGTTTTATTTTTACTTTGAAACATGCTTTTTTTTTCCTGATTTGAATCAGAACAATGCAACTCCTTTCCTAATGGTGCCTCTTGCTTTGTGTTTCTGCAGACGACGACGCTCATTGGCCTCCTGAAGACGGCTCGGCTGCTGCGGTTGGTGAGGGTTGCAAGGAAACTGGACAGATACTCTGAATACGGTGCTGCTGTTCTGATGTTGCTTATGTGCATTTTTGCTCTCATTGCTCACTGGCTCGCTTGCATTTGGTATGCGATTGGGAATGTTGAAAGGCATTACCTGACTCCAAAAATCGGTTGGTTGGATTCCCTTGGAGAACAGTTGGGGAAACATTACAATGTGAGCGATCTCAGCTCTGGACCATCCATCAAAGACAAATACGTCACCGCACTTTATTTTACCTTCAGCAGCCTGACCAGCGTCGGATTTGGAAACGTGTCTCCAAACACCAATTCAGAGAAAATATTTTCGATTTGTGTCATGCTGATTGGCTGTAAGTATATTTTCCTCTCCTGTACTGCCCGTCTAATGTAACGCTAAGTATTAACATAATTCCATATGCTAAATAAAATTAGCAGTAAGGAACATAAACAAAAAGCGTAATGTATACAAGCTAGAAGGCAGAGGATCTTAGACCAATTTTCTATTTATTTAGTTGCTTTTTCTGCCTGTCTTTTAATGGCACTCTTCATGGAGGAGAATGTTTTCTGTCAGGCACTACAGTGCAATGTGTGAAGTAATCAAAAAATATAGGAGTGTCTCTCAATGGAACATGAGTTTTCTTAATCCAAACATCACAATGGCTCTGTCTAACTTGTTATGGAGTAAAAGCTTCTGGCATAGTCAATGCATATTGCAGCTAAGGTTCTGGACAGGCACCTTTCCTTTTAGAAATCAAGTACCAAAAGCTCATTGTTAGATTCTCCAAGGACCAGCTCACATTTTGAATCTATGCGAAAGGGAAAGGTCAACTACCAAGCTGATGCTCCAAGGGCCAGCTCACATTTTGAATCTACAGTATACGAAAGGGAAAGGTCAACTACCAAGCTGATCGTACTTCCCTAAACTTATTTCAACCCATGGGGTTTGGATGACCTTATTCCCTAGGACAAATTAGGCAAAGTATAGTTTACTGGATATTGTTGGACTGCAATTCTCACAAGCTCTAGCCAGCATGATCAACAAGGAGGGGTTGATGGGAGGAATGTATGCCTTCCCATCCCACCCTAATTGCTACATTCATAGGTAGGCTTAGCTGGCTACTTTATCCCCTCCTCCATTTAGTCTTTGGAGAATCCCCTGTTAAACCAAAATTTGCAGTATTCTGTGAGATGCTAGAGTGGGCATGTGTCCTACCTTCTTTCGAAAAATCCCTCTCTGTGAAGCCTTCTTTATTTTAGAGATGGTCAACTTGCAGCCCAATAGATAATGCTGAACTGTGTCTTTCATCCTGTCTCTGCCTTGGCTATGTTGGCTAGAACTTGGGTTGGTGGAAGGTGAAATCTAGTAAAATCTGAATGACAGCTGTTTCCCCCACCCTACTCTATTTGAAGGGCTACCTGGTCCAAGTTCATTTTAAAGATAAGGAAGCATCAGAAGGGAAAGCCAGGATCTTCACCCAGCAGGCTCACGGGTTGTCTAAACACTCTTTTGCATTATGGTGAAATGTGTTGTGTTTCTTTTTATATTGCCGTAATTGTTTCAGCATTGACAGCTACACGTGCAATTTCCCATATGCATATGTTGTGCATATCTGTACCCTCTTTTCAGCAACATGCAACTTGTGAATAGCTGCAGATGTGATTATCATCCAAACTTTTTACAGCTACAAGAATTTTCAAACAAAAGTGCATTCAAAACAAAATTAAGTTGTATGCAGAAATCAAATCATGTTATAATTATGTTTCAAAATTTCAGGAGCTTACTTCCCACAATCGCAGGTGCTTATAGCCTAAAAAGGCACACTGAGAAACAAAAGACAAAGAACACATCTCTAAAATACATCATGAAGCAGTCTTTAGCCTTTAAGCATGTTTAAAATGCACACAGAGAATTAATCACCTGACCAGGCCAATTTCAATCTAGGCAGTGAAATCCTTTATGATTGTTATGGATTTCTGGAAATGGTACTGCTGCATTGTTACATGCTTGTTGCTCTTTGATGATGTCGGGTGCCCAAAGTGTCATGGAGTTGCAATTTATTTTTATTTATTTTTATTTATTGGATTTATATACTGCCCATCTGGCATTCAGGACCACTCTGGGCGGTTTACAACAGATAAACAAACAGATTAACAACAGAATACATATACAAAATAATAATAATACAATTATAGCATAAATCAAATATCATAAAGTGCAGTAGAAACAAATAAAATACAATGAATTACAATTGAAAACATAAAATATAAAAGACAAGAAGCATGGTGGTATGATGGATGATATTTTAGCAAACACTGTTGTATCATACAGTTGTTTGTTCAGGGAAGGTCCGCTTAAATAGCCAGGTTTTTAACAGCTTCCTAAATGTGCCCAGTGAAGGAGTCAGGTGGACTTCAGAAAGAAGAAGAGTTCCATAGTTGTGGAGTTACGGCCAAGAAGTCCCAATTTCTAGTATTTGTTTTCTGGGCCTCTCTCTGGGTCAGCTCTCTCAGCCGCCCTGCCTGCAACAATCTTACAGAATGGGCAGATCTAACCAGAAGGAGGCGCTCAGCCAGGTATCAAGGTCCCAAACCATTTAGTGCCTTATATGTTAGGACCATTAACTTGAAACTGATACAGAAGCAATCAGGAAGCCAGTGTAAGGTGGCCAGGGTGGGGGAGATGAGTTGGTATTTTCTTGTCGCACTCAATAATCTGGCCACTGCATTTTGAACCTGTTGCAATCTCCGTAGCAGTCCCAAGGGCTGCCCCATGTAGAGGGCATTAAAGTAGTCTAATCTCTAGATTATCAGTGCATGAACCAGCGTGGTGAGGGACTCAGTGTCAAGGTAGGGGCACAGCTCGGTGACCTGGTTTAGGTTGAAATAAGCAGAACAGACTACAGACGCTACCTGTGATGCCATTGATAGTGCTGGGTCCAGAAGTACACCCAAGCTATGCAACTCATCCTTTGTGGAAGACTGACACCCCCCCCCAAAAGGCAGGGAGGGACCCAGACCACAGACACTAGGGGCCTCCAACTGCAGGATTTCCATTTTGTCCAGGTTCAGCCTCAACCTGTTGTTCCTCATCCATCCCAGCACCACATCTAGGCAGTGTTCAAGGGGCGGGACAAAATCCACTGCAGAAGGGTGGAAGGAGAGACAGAGCTGCGTGTCATCTGCATATTGGTGACACGAAGCTCCAAAACTCCTGATGACCTCCCTTAGTGGCCTCATGTAGATATTGAATAGCATTGGGTAGATGATTGACCTCTGCAGGACTCCATAATTGAGAGTCCACAGAGCAGAGAACATCTCCCCAAGCTGAACTCTCTGAGGAGATTCCTCCAGGAAGGATCAGAGCCAAACCAAAGCCTGACCACCAATCCCCAACCCCGAGAGCCTCCCCAGGAGGATAACATGGTCAACGGTATCAAAGGCCACTGAGAGGTCGAGGAGGACCACCAAGGACGTTTTGCCCTTGTCGGCCACCCTCAAGAGGTCATCTTGCAGGGCAACCAATGGTGTCTCCGTCATCACGGCCTGAACCTGGACTAGAATGGATGAACAGCATTGGTTTCCTTCAGGAGAGCCTGATGTGATGAATTCCTAAATGCCTCTGTGTATGTCCTATCTCCCTATATTTATAATTCTTTCAGTTGCCCACTTGTCCCATTCTCTGTAAACAGTTTCTTTTCCAGGGACCTGGTGATCCAAGCATCTTGAGCTCCAAGAAAAATATTTTAAATTGGAATCTTAATTGTTGTTGCATCTTCTGTAACTGCAGAATTTTGTAACTGAATCTCAGTCAAGCTGCCGCTATGATGATAACTTCATTGTTATGACTAAAATGTTTGCAGAGCCTGGAGGGACAAAGTCCTGTAGCAAAGAAGATGTGGAAATCCAGAATTCTGGAAAGCCAAAATATTACAACAATAGCTCCAGGATGTTGGGACTACAAAGAGTGCATACCATAAGACCAGCAAACACCATCTTTACATTTACACATTGCAACATAAACACATTCAGCTGTCAGGATGTTATGATACAGTGACCTTTCTCTGCTGAAGCGCTAGGTAATTCTTTTGCAATGTCTGCAGTAAACTATTGTTCAATCCTCAATTTTAAAAACACTTTCATTTTCATGACCAATTTTTTCTATATTTTATTATCACACTATAGATACAACATTTTACATCTTTACATAACTCCAGCCCACTCAGTGCCTTATCCGCTCTGCATACATACCAGGAACTTGCACAGTTAATAAAGGGAGAGGCCAGGTTTTAATGTTTGGGTTTTGGTTATTGAGTCTTCCAGCTCTAGGGAAGGAAACTCACAACAAACCTTGCAACTGTTCAGAGAAAAAAGCAGGTTCCTTCCTTTCTGCTGAGTAAGTGGGAGTGATGAAAGTGTTATGCCTGAGCAAAGTGAGGCCTCTTGTCTGCTTGACAATCAAGGTAGAAAGCTTTGGAAAAACAGAGGGTGGAGAGGGGCTGTAACAAGAACCTCCACAGATGATCTGAAATCATTTTGATGGAGTGTGTATGGAAGATAGCAGTCATTACGATACTATAGTATACTGAATATGCAATAATATCATTTTTTTTTTCAGAGAAAGGCTTTTGCAAACCTAAGGCCACAAGACCAGTGAAGGTATCATGGGGGTGAAAACTGACACCAATCTTGTTCACAAATATTTGTCCGTGTAACAGAAGTACGGAGGACCATTTGATTAAAATAGCTTTCAATGTCCATTACTGTGAGCAGCCATCCCCTTATGGCTCCATTATGCTTACTCTTTTTAGGGTTTGGGTTTGGGACAATGGACACAACTTTAGAAGACTCGATAATTTAGAAGAAAATAAAATTTAAATTTAAAAAATGCCATTTTTGCCTGGGAAATTTATTTAGTTATATATTTCATTTAGTTCAAGAATGTTTCAAGGATACATTGAAATATTGAACATGTGCAGTCCAAACTTCAAAGAGCTTTAAAGAGGACACATACTCTATTTCCTCCATGTATTCCCGGTGCTCAAGCCATCATCCTTCACTACAGGGAATATATTAAAAAGATATAAGAAGGAAAGAAGAAGGGCAAGGAAAGGGTCATATTTAGTTCTTTTTTGCACTGTAAAAGAAAGGTATCATGCAGGACATGAATGAACTCACTTTACGCCTTTGACTTCCAATGATCACAGATATTCTAGGAAATGTGCTTATATGCAAATGGCTGATTGAAAACCAAATTCTTAGTGGTTTTAATATTTCATTTTTCAAATAAATTTCTAGCAGCATCTGTGATAGCTGCCTAGAGTGGTCGCAATGACCAGATAGGCGGGATACA